ATTATTTTTTTATTTAGATCTTTTTTTCTTCTCTTGAATAAAGTTACAAACGGTTCGGATATTGATAGCATCAAAGGAAAGGTACGTGTGCATGTTCACCTCCCGGCAGCGTTCAGTCCATGTACTTCAGATGCTACTGCCAAAATCTATTTAAAAACTGTCTGAGATCAAATGATTGGGCACCACTCATATAAAAAAAAAATAAATTATACTTCTTGAAAGTCCTATTTGCTTCTTAAAAGACAACCGTGAAATGAACAATGAACATTTTGGGTCACTTTTCCTTACGCTGAACGAATGAGGCTTTTGGCTCTTCCTCATCGACCTGTAGCACTCCGCCCTGTCACCAGTCCTCTCTCCTTGTTTGAGACTGAGATTAACACTGGGGTAAATAAATGCCATCGCACCAACACGTAACATTTACAAAGCACTTACGGGAGACTGGCTAGCTTAGCTGTGTTACACACATATACAGGAGAACTTAAAACAATCACTTACCTTGGAAGTCCTTTATGAAACTGCACACATACAGCTTAAAACCCTTGTCCTTTTTCGACGTCGGAGTTGTTGAAGCTGCTTCAATAATCCGATAAACGTCGTTAACGTTTACTTTGGGAAAATCCAGCAAGGACCGAGTGAAAAACTCCATCTCTAACACAGAGTGACTTGTGCACCGGAAGCAGGCTATGTGGAAAAAAAATGCGGAAGTGCTAAAACGGAAGTCCGTGGCATATACCCAACGCCATTTTGTTTTAAATCCTTTTTTTTTTTTAAAATCCAGCATTGCGCATGCGCACAGACAATTTCCAGCTATGGTTTCCAGTGTATGGAGTATGGAGAGCCATTTACTTAATTTTGCCTGAAAAATTAATTAAAAGGCATAATTGGTAGACGGTCTCTTTTAATTAGACATCCTTTAATTTAAAGTGAAATCATTTTTGTAAATGTGTTTTTCTTAACCAGTGAAACAGGTTTGGAATAGGTTAACCAGGAGAGAGGATTGTTTAAATTATTTAGCAATAAAAAGGACACAATTTTAAAATAACAGGATGGTTGCAACTGGAGACAAGTCCAAAATGTTTATTTGAGTGAACCGACCAGAAATTTGACACCAATCACATTGGTGTCGTATTTTATCTGTACACACAGTAAGATCGCAGACTCACAGTTTGTATGTATTTTCTACAGTTCATTGAAATGTACCATGACAGCACACAGCGCTGCGGAAGCTAGCATGCCTCCTTGTGCTACATTGCTGCTCACAATAAAAAGCACAATGAATGTAAAATGCCCTCCTTTTTGTTCAGTGATCAAATGAGGCTTGAATGTGTTTTTAGCAAAAATATACGCACACCCAAAGCCATGAATACACTATACAGTTAAATATCTAATGTGCACAGGTTCTTAAAAATAATTTTCTTTTTTAAAATAAATCTCTGTTTCTCTCTAAATTAAATCTTCACTGAGGGTTAAGGACTTTGGCGATCAGCGGTGCACACTGAACAAAAACACCAACACTGAGGATGGTTCAGTGTTCTTACAGATCACAAACATTCTCAGCAACTCTGACGGAAAAACAAAACTCAGTGAGGATTCACTGCAAAAACACTAAATATTACCAAGTACTTTTGGTCAACTTTCTAGAGCAAGTATCTTAGCCCAAAACTAACTTACAAGCACATTTTCAGCAAAATATAGCAGTTTGTTTAAGTCCTTAATATTGACAAAAAAAGGTACTAGTTCCTCTGGCAGATTATTTAACTTATGACATGGAAAATGTTTTGTTGTAAGTTAAATAAGTTGCCAATGGTAGTAGTACTTTTTAAGGTCAATATTAAGGAATTGTTTACCTAAAACAAGCTCCTATTTCTAGCTGAAATGTTGTTTGTAAGTTAGTTTTTTCCTATTTCAAGTATTAAGATGTGTGCATTAGAAACTCAACCAAAAATACTTGGTAGTATTTTGTGTTTTTGCAGTGTAGGACAGACGACAGCAGTAAAATGCTTAAACGTCAGAGATCTGCTCAGCTGACCACATACAAGCGTCTCTATTTCCAGATTAAATGTAATATTTATTATATTCTCCCAGGTATTAAGACTCTCTGCTCTCCTCTGGTTGGTTTTTCACCCAATGGCTGCTGTGAGTAACAGATGAGCTTAGATTAAAAACCCAGTCTGACGGGACCGGCCGGTTCACTGCTCCAACGGCTGAGTTGGCTTTTGGTCCGGGGCGGTGTTGGGCTGCGGGGCGTCTTCTGGCTGCGGGGCAGTATGGGGCTGCGGGGCAGGATGCGGGGCGTCTTCTGGCTGCGGG